CACCTCAGCCTCCCAAAGCGCTGGGATTACAGCCATGAGCTGGTGTTCCTGGCCTGGTTTTATTTTTTTAAGGGCCAGAGCTTTTTCCTTAAGGATGAGTTAGTAAAAAAAGAAAAAAACAAAAAATTTTTAAATCACTGTTAACTTTCACCCAGTTTCTTTTCACAAAAAAACTTATTCTATAAGTAGAGACAGGGGTCTTGCTACATTGCCCAGGCTGGTCTCGAACTCCTGGGCTAAAGGGATCTGCCTGTCTTGGCTTCCTAAAGTTCTGGGATTACAGGCTGAGCCACCACACCTGGTCTTGCTTGCCCAGTTTTCAAAGTAGGTGTTTTGTAAAATATTATACTTTTTAATAATAATATTAACAATATTAATTTTTGTTTTGCCAGGACTCCATCCGATTGGAGACAGACATTAAATCTTTCGGGGGACCTTACATCGGGTGCTAGTTCCCACCCCCAAGCCTCTCCCCTGCCCAGGCCCTGCAGGTCCTGCGTGCTGCAAACATTTTCTTTGTCCCTTTCTGCCCAGGGTGGCTGCTGGTCTCTCCAGGAACTAGTGAGGAGGTGCTCCTGCCAGGTGGTATTGGTGAGAGCCCGCTGCTCGCCCTTCCTTTGTTTGCCAAAACCTCTGAAGGTCCCCAGATTCCTGGGAGACCCCCTTCCAGGGCCTCCTAAAGAAGCTACCATACTGAGAGATACATTGGTAATGCCCTGGGCCCACGGATCAGCTTGTTTACCTTATTCCAGAGAAAAGCATTCTTGGAGGTAGTAAGATGAGCCGGTCATTGGTCTGAGAAATGGGCGCACAATATCGCTGCTCTCTCTGCAAAGATGGGGATCAGAATCCAGCTTGCCTGAGCTGGCAGGCAGGCATCGGCCTGAAGGTTTCAGCCTCCCAGTGTAGCACACCTTAGGTGAGGAGAGGAAGGACGGGAGCAGAGCACTGGGTGCCCCTCTTCCTGTAGAGTCTGGGGCGGGGCTCAGTGAGAAGGCCTCCGGTTGGTAGCTCCCCACCTCATAGCTGCAAGTCCGGGTGAAAGCTGGAGTGTTTCCTCCCAGCAGCCCCAGGCCTCCTCGACTCTCAGCAAACCTCCTAATCTCCCCTTGACCTCCTGGTTGCTGTGGCCCTTCCTCCCCCGGTTGGTTTCCTCCCTCTTTCCCAAGGCCAGAGGTGTCCCCTCTTCCCCTCATCTTCCTCCCTCTTCCCATAAAACTTTTAGGAAAGTGGGGATGGGAGTGGTGGAGGCCACCAGCCTGGAACTTCAAGTTCAATGGCAAAGTCCCTGACCCTCCCCCCAGGCTGGGCGCCAGCATTATTCTGAGGGTGATTAAACTCTTTTGCTGCCCCTGTGACCCTCCCAGTTGGGGGACAATTTAGGGGAGGAGAGGGGGTAACGGTAGAATTCTTTCTTTCACTCTCCCCTATCACTTCGTCCCCTCCCCCTCGTCACCTCTACACAGAACTAACAAGTCGGGAGAGAGGAAGAAAGGCTGGCAGCGGTTCCCCATTGGATGTTTTAAATCTGTCTCAGGCCCAGGCCAGCGCCTCGGGGGGAGGGGCGGGGTGCCCTCTGGTGTGCGAGAGGCCCGGGGCCGCTCCAGAGCTTTCTCCCCTCTTTCCGGGAGAGCGACTGTTCGGGAGGGTGAGAATGGTATAAATTTCAAAAACAACGAAAAGTCCTTTTGCCCCCTCCGCAGCAGTCGCCTCCGGGCTTTATTGCAAGTTTACGGTAACGAGTTCATTTATTTAATTCGCGGTTGTAGCTCGGAGGTTTCTATTAGACAGGGCGGGGGTCTGGGGGCGGGGGGGGGGGTCACAGTGTCTCCCCTGAAGGAAACCTAGTTAAGAGTACAGCACTTAGAACCTTGAATACAACTTTAATGAAGGGGAGGAGGGGAGCTGAAGGGAAGAGAAGTTTGCTTCGGGTTGGGGGAGGAAAGCCGGAGCTGCTCGGGAGAACTGGGGGGCCTGGACGGGGCTTTTTCCTGCTTCAGGGGCTTTCCAGCTTCCGGCCCTGGAACTACTACACGGAGTAGAGATCGCGTGCAGGGAAGGCTGGGCGGATGCTCGGCCGGCGGAGGCCTCGCAGGGTCCCCGGAAGCGCTCCTCAGCCGGAATAAAACCCGAAAGATGGAGCCTCAGGTTCTGCGTTGCGGGTGCTGGAACCGAGATTCCAAAAGAGCTTCCGGAGGTAATGTTTACGCATTTTGTCAGGTCTCCTTTATTTGACTTCTGGAGGCCTAATAAAATCCACCTGCTTTGGAGTTGGAACTGATTTCGGGCCTGGAGTCCGCGTAGACGCGACCCTCCGATCCTGTTTCTCGGCCTGCCGAGAGACTCGCTGCGGGAGGTGGTGTTTGGCTCCGAGGGAGGGGAAATGTCTAGGGCGCAGCTCTGAGTACAATTGCGCCTCGTTGGTGAAAAGGCTTCCAGCTTGTTTCCGGAGTATGTGTGTGTGTGCCTCTGCGTTTATTTGTGACAGTGTTGTCTGGATTCATCTATTGTGACATGTGTTCACACGTGTGTCCGAATGGTAAGCTTAACATTTCCTCCTGCAGCTTAACACGGCCCTTATTTAAAAGTAAATAGCTGCAGGCGAGTGTAGGTTTGTGGATTTTGTTGTGATTTAAACGCAAATGAGAGAGATTTCAATGTGGTGGGTCAGGGATAGGTGGGAGACAAATTGTTTGGGAAGGGATTCCCAAGAAAAGGGCTTAATACAAAACTAAATTAAGTATTTTTTGCACTGGTTCTATACAAATAAATCAGAAAAAAAGGTCGGGGGGGCGTCTACCGTGAATGGTTATGGTGCGGAAGATAAATAAATTACGAACGAAGACATGGACGGAGGGCGGATGGCGCCGCGGCCTGGCTCCCGGAGCCGGACCTCCTTCTTCCATTGGAGATCTCCTGTGCCGAACCTCCTTGCCTTCTTCCTGGGTCTCTCGGGGCCTGGACCAGTACATCTCCGGATGCCCTGGCCGAATGAAAGGCGACATCGGGTCCTGGGGCCCCCACACGCAGCCCAGTACCCCGAGGCTCCAGGCTGCGGAAAGCCGGTAGCTCCTCGGGGGATGAAAGCCTTGCCCGCAGGTTCTCCTGGAGTGGCGAGCCTCTCCCGGGAGGGGGCGCCCTTGTCTTTTTAATGGTCCTAACACACTGGTGGAATAAATCTCTAAGATTCCACATCTTTTGTTTGCTCTGAATTTATTGCGAGCGAAAAACAGAGAAGCGCCTTACGTTTGAGTTCCTGATAGCAGAGGTCCCAGACCTCTAACTCCACCAGGGCCATCTCCGTTAGTGGAGATGGCAGCCCCCCTTGTGGCCTTTTTCCTCTCTCCAAGGAGCACCCCGCACCACGCCGCTCCCCCTCATCTATCTCGCCCCCTCCCCACAGGCCTATCTGCGCTGAACTCTCGCCACTTCCGAAGTTGGCGAGGGAGGGGTTTGCTTGCCTGAGCGTTGGTCCGGTTTGGACTTATGGAGACAGAGGAGTAAGAACCTGAGATATTAAAAGCTACCCACATGGGCTTCACTTGAAGGAGGACGTGGAAGGCAGAAAGTGACCTCCTCTGAGCGGTGCATGTAACCGAGCCCTTAAACTGGGCTTGGAAGATTTTTTTAAATCAGGTAATCGACCTCCTCTTCCTCCTCCTCGTCCTATTCCCCCGACCCCCCCAGTCTTATTCACTCACACTCTTTGGCCATGTCCCTCAGAACCGGGCTCCTCTTTGGTAAATAGATCTGTAGGAGTCTAAGTCACTTCCCACCCTCACTCCTTCTCATGAGAGGAGCTGAATTCCACCCGACTGTAAGCCGTAAACACTCGAATCCCTTGGTCGCTGCGAGGTTTCTTGGAGAGCTGGATCGGGAGGGAAAGGTCCTCGAGGTAGTGGCAGCCGCAGCCCACCGCTGACTGCTTGCTTCCGGCCTGCTGCTCTAAACTTCAGGCCTATGCGCTCAATCGTGAAGAAAGTGCCTGCAGGACCCCCACCCTTGGCCTAGGGTACAGGAAGGCCCAGCAGGAACCTGCTGGCTTTGCTTTGCTGCCCAGGCAATGAGTCCCACCCGGCACTGAGCCCAGGTACACCACATCAGAGAATGGGCACAGAGGTGGAGGCCCCCATGTCCCTCTCAGAGCCCGTCTGTCTCCAGCTTCCATAATTCTACACTGTGTATCTGTCTACGTGGACCGGGAAAACAGGGTTGGCACCACTCTGCCTTCCACCCACCTGGGATTCAGGGTACTGGAGGGAGCCAGGGCAAAATGAAAAGGAAATGAAGTCCACAGCCACTGTCACATGGGCAGCCTGGGTTTCCCCAACCCTGAGCCTGGGTCTTTGCTCTTCCACCAACTGCTGCTCTTTCAACTGCAAAAGGGCCTGCCCCATCTCCCTGGCCTGAAAGCTCCTCTGGATGTCAGAGGGAGGCAGAAGAGAAAATGAGTGGTGAAGAGGCCATTTTCTGGTTTTCTCTCCTGCCCTATTGTCTGGGGCTACCTGAGGGTAGCGAAGAACACTACTCTGGTTCTGTAACTGCTGTTTGTGCCTGAGAGAGCCGAGTATGCAAGGCCACAAACATCTACTTCACTGGGCTCCCAATGCCCAGCAAACCATGACCTGCTTTGGTCAGAACCACCAGAAATATTAAAGGAAGATAGAGTTTTGGGGAGGAAATGAATGGTGAATTATCCAGGTACTTTCTCAAACCCCTTTTTCTCTGGAAGGAAGGACTGACTAGGGGCAGCCTGCTCGCTTCATTTTCACATAATGGGAGAAAATCTAAGAGTTAAGGAGACCAGTGGGTACAACCTATGGGGTGGACGAGGGAGGAAGAGGCAGCCTCTACAATTGTCTACCTGCCCAGCTGTCATCCCAGAAAAATGCTAAATGGACATCACAGCCACACAAGTGAACCTGCCCTTTCTCCTCTCCTCAGTCTTCCTGCTAGTACCAGGATGGGGAGTGTAAACGGAAGGGGGTCTGAGAGAAAGCTTCCCTGCAAAGGGATCGCCTTCCAAGTTTATTCATAATCAGCTCAATTCATGGAAGCAGTTTCTAAAGTGCTCTACAGAGCTCTAAATAGAAAATATGAGGCTAATGATCATGGCAGCTAGTACTGGTTATCGTGATTATTGCCCCTGTCAGGATGAATGATTATGACTGCAACAGGTTCTTTGGGAACCCTGGTGAAGTGGGCTGTCACATGGGGCTTCCCTCTCCCAGCACATACTGGGTACCCAGGCCACTCCTAAGGAACAGTCCAGGAGCCAGTGGCCTGGGAAGGGTGTTGTCTCTAGAGGCCTCTCAGCAGAGTCCTTGGCCCCAGCGTGGGCTTGACAGATTCCTGGTCTCCCAGGACACCCCCGCTTTCCCTCCTCCCACCCAGGCAGGGAGATCTCTCAAGGGGTAGTGCTGTTCTTCACCTTGGCGAGAACCTTCTTCTCTTTGACCCGGCGGTTCTGAAACCAGATGGTGATCTGGCGCTCCGAAAGGCTGGTGGCAGCTGAGATCTTGCGCCTCTTGTCCTTGGTGATGAACTTGCTTGCCGCATACTCCCGCTCCAGCTCCCGCAACTGCCCCTTGCTGTATGGAATGCGTTTCTTGCGGCCGCGACGAAAGGCGCAGGCGTCAGGCGGGTGCTGCCCGCTGGAGTCTGTGCAGCAGGAAAGGGAGAGAGAAAAAGGCATGGTCAGATCCCCACCCACGCAGACCCAGGCCCTGCAAGCCCCAAGCTAAGTCATCCCACAGGTGCACCCAGGTCACCCTACAGGTGCACGTTCAATCCTGTTCCTCCAAAGCACACAAGGACACCCCAGCTTCTGGCTTGTTCTCTGACCACTGCTCAGCCGTGGCTCCTGCTGGCCACCCTCACCCATCACTGCTCTCACACCCGAAGGTCTGCAAACACACCCACACACCACACACAGGCCTTTGCCCACCATCATGTGTCCACTCTTCATGCATTTCTAGACTCTTGGCCACTCTTGTAGATTCTACAGGCACATTCTGGAAACACATTTCTGCCCCCATTCCAAATACATGCGCATACATGCGCGTGCGTGCGTGCACACTCTCTCTCTCTCTCTCTCTCACCCATTCCAATGCACACACCTATGACATGGCTTCAGGAAACCTAAATTTTTCTTTAGAAATGGGAAAACTCATCTAATTGAAAGCGATGTGTTGTGTTCTCTACAGAATATCCAATACCTTTTTACCCATCTCCCACACCCAATCCCCACTCACAGAATTGAGAGTTATTTAGCCTTTGTGTAGAATTAGGCCAGAATTGTGCTGGGTAGGGACACCCTGATCCCTACTCAACAGCAAAGAGATCCAAGCCTCTCAGAGATATTGAAAGACTGGTCCCAGGGCCTCCTGGAGAAGTGAGGTGCTCCTCAGGCTTCAGATGGCACCCAGCTCAGGCCCCTCATATTGACCTCCATCCAGGCACTCCAGCTGCCTAGACCCTCCCTCAGAGTCCTAATAACCAAGGGAGGAGCACCAAATTCATCCTCACCAGCCCCAAGTCTCCCTCCTCCTCCTCCCAGGTAAGTGCCAGTGGGACCCACAAACCCAGGCTCAGAGGCAAGGGAACCCAGAGTAATAGAGATTACCTGTAAATGCTGCCTTCCAGAAGGGACCTGGTGGGTTCTGTTCTCCCTGGCAACACATCTGGCTGTTCCAGCCACCGGCGAGGGCCCAGGACTGGTAACTGTCCACGGGCAACAGGGAGTCATGTCGCGGCTCCCCAGAAGCACCCAGGGTCTGCACCACAGACACGTCTAGGTAACTGGCCATAGGCTGGTAGGTTCCCGGATATCCCGGATAGAAGGCAAACTCAGTGGGGCGGCTGGGGTACTCTTCCCCAGCCGTGGGAGTCTCCGCAGGGTAGGCAGCCAGGGTGGCCGCCTGGGCACAGGGTTTCAGCGAGCTCCGGGACACTCGGCAGGAGTAGTACCCGCCTCCAAAGTAGCCATAAGGCACCGGAGCCGGGGACGCCCCCTGAGGCACCCCGGAGCATGGGTGGCATTGCTTTGGCGGCTCCGCAGAGCCTGGCAGATCCAAAGGGGCATAGTTGACGGCAGGCATCAGCGTAGGCGCCGCTGGGTGGCTGGTCAGAGGGGAGTGGGCTACCAGATTCCGCCCCCCTCCCGCTCCCAGCAAGCTTTCCATATCCTTGGCTCCGTCCAAGGTGGCATAATTGCCCGGCTCCATGGAGCCGAGGGTCGGCTCATGGGGTGCGGGAGTGGGGAATCTAGGGGGGACCCAGCTCGCTCTCCCCACCCAGGCCCGGGGAATCCAAAGCGTTTTAAATCGCTCCTAGCTCGCAAGTCGCCTGCATTCGCTCAGCACGGCCGTCTTGACGCAGGAGACGCAGGGGCCCGGGCACGCGCGCTGATTGGCTGCGGCCTGGGGGAGAGAAGCTAATAAAATCCTAAAGGCAGAAACTGCTAAAATACTTTATCCCAGCTTATTTTTTCTTTCTCCCTTTCACTCTCTCTCTTGCTCTTTCTCTCTCTCCTGTCTCTCTTTTCCCCTTTCTCTCTTCTTTTCCCTCTCCTCTCTTCTCTCTCTTTCTCATTGCTCTTAAAAACAACACAAGAGAAAAGAAAGAAGGTATCCTTTCGCTGCTTTTCAGTTTGCAGAGTCCCAGTTCCACGTCCGGGGGGAGGGGAGGCGTGGTGGGCGGAGGGAGAGGGGACGAGGAGCCGGGCCCCACCTCCTTCTCCTCTCCCTCCCTGGCTCTCAGTCTCCTGCGCTTTGGCAGGTTTAACGAGAGAATAAAAAGCTCTCCCTATAAAGTGTCCATCTCCTGAGGGGGGAAGGGGAGTCGGGGGTGGGGCTGGAAGGCCGCTCCCGGCCTCAAAGGAGAACCCGGGAATGAGCCTGTTTAAGAGGAGGCTGGGAATTGCGAGTTAATGGGTATTTCTGGCAGCCCCTGGCTTTTGGTTCTGGGTACTAGCACCCAGTTCATTCCCGGTACCTTTCCTGTCCTGGAGTGAGCTGCTCCGGCCCCCAAGGAGGTGCCCGGGACGCCCCTTGCCCAGGGACTCTCTACTGCCCAGAATGCTCTGGTGTCCCTGATTCGGGTGAGGCTGAGGGAGGAGGCCGGAGACACGAAAGCAAACGGAGAAGACGCGCGATCTGGATGGAGCCCAGGACACTCCACGTCTGGACCCCAAGGGGAAATGGAGGCTCTAGAGTGGCCCGTGGAAGGGTCTGGGTTTCCCTTTAAGTGCGGGGAAAGACGCACGGAGGGACAGAGACCCACAGGACTTGAGCGGGGACTGGGAGAGGGAGAGGAGAGACCCAGGGACAGCAACACAAAGAGGGAAAGAGAGAAGTTGACAGAGGGGATGGGACAAAATCTTATAAAATCTCCAAGTGCCAATCGGAAAAGAGAAAGAAAAAAATCCCCCCTTTTTACATCCCCCCTTTTTTGGGATGTAAGAAGTCTGAGGAAGCCAGGCCTGGCTGACTGCCAGAAACCAGCGGTGGGAGTTCTGGACCCCAACAGTACAGACGCCTGTGTGGAGATGCCGGTCTCCCTGCCCTGCAGTCCTCTCCTGAGGGTCTGTTCGGGGCCCAGGAAACTCTCCCTGATGCTGGCTTACTCCCACCCAAGCTGAGTGCCCAGAAAGCCCAAGACCCCTAACTGCCTCCTCAAGCTTTAAACTTCCTTAGAAGGAAAAGGGGATGGGAGGGGAAGCCCCAACCACTGGCAGAATTGCTTGAGGCCCCTCTATTGGGGCCTATTGTGCAGTGCAATTCAGAAGAATCAAACGGTTTGTTTCACAAATCTGTCTTAGAGGTTTGCTGCTTCTTTTACTACCTCTCCCAAACTAAATCCTTCCACCTGCTTTTTCTAGAACTCCCAGTTTTTCTGAAGAAGACGAATTTTTCCATTCTACACGGGGGTCTTGGCAATTATATAGAATGGATTACCCTAAACTCTGGGCGGGCTCAATCATAGCCTGTCACCAACCTGACCTTGAACTTGAGCCCCTTTGTGGGAAAAGGTCCATAGGCTGTAGTGTACATCACTCCTAATGAACATTGCGATAACTGAAGACACCAAGCACAAATTCTTCACTAGATTTTATTGCATTTAAAAACAGTATGGAAGCAAAGGGAGGAAATGTCTCTTCAGTGCTTTCCAGTTTCTCACCAGAGTTTCTTGCTTGTCTAATTATGAATTGCAGAAATATCCAGATTTTTACCTAAAGAATAAGAATTTTTCACCAGTTTTTACTTGGTAAATGATAGATACATAGGGCATGTCCACAGTTTTAGCATCCACTAGGCAAACACACAGACACACACACACACACACTTATTCATGCTTGTACGGTAGAGGCATTAATAGACCCCTAAATTTAAAAAAATAATAATCGGGCTGGCGCGGTGGCTCAAGCCTGTAATCCCAGCACTTTGGGAGGCTGAGGCAGGTGGATCACGAGGTCAAGAGATAGAGACAATCCTGGTCAACATGGTGAAACCCCGTCTCTACTAAAAATACAAAAAATTAGCTGGGTGTGGTGGTGCGTGCCTGTAATCCCAGCTACTCAGGAGGCTGAGGCAGGAGAATTGCCTGAATCCAGGAGCGGAGGTGGCGATGAGCTGAGATCACACCATTGCACTCCAGCCTGGGTAACAAGAGCGAAACTACGTCTCAAAAAAAAAAAAAAAAAATCATAGTCATGCCCTATGACCCAGTAATTCCATTTCTGGGCATAAACCCAACAGAAATAAATGTCTATACCCATTAAAAGGCATGTACTAGTAGGTCCACAGCACCTTTATCCATAGGTGCTCAAAGCCACCTATGGCAGCGCATGCCTGTAATCCTAGCTACTAATCCTAGCAGAGGTGGCAGGATCCCTTGAGCCTGGATGTTCAAGACTAGCCTGGGGCCAGGCACAGTGGCTCAGGTCTGTAATCCCAGCACTTTGGGATGCCAAGAAAGGCAGATCACTTGAGGTCAGGAGTTCGAGACCAGCCTGGCCAACATGGTGAAACCCCCGTCTCTACTAAAAATAAAAATTTTAAAAGGCCAAGTGTGATGGTGGGCACCTGTATTCCCAGCTACTCGGGAGGCTGACGTAGGAGAATCGCTTGAACTTGGAAGGCAGAGGTTGCAGTGAGCTGAGATTGCACCACTGCACTCCAGCCTGGGTGACAGAGCAAGACTATGTCTCAAAAAAAAGACCAATCTGAGCAACATAGGGATAATAGGGATACTCCATCTCAAAACGAAACCAAAACATAGTAGCTCAAAACTAGAAACAACCCAAATGTCTATCAACAGTAGTGTGAGTAAAGAAAGCATGCTATAATTAAACAATGAAGTACCACACGGCCATCTGAAAAAGAATAAACCACTACTATACACAACATTGATGAATCACAGACATGTGGATGAAAACGCCAGGCACAAAAGAGTAGCTTTTTGTATGATTCAATTTCTACATTTCCAAACAGTGCAAGGACAAGCAAAATTATGGCATAGTGATAGAGGTCAGAATAGAGATTGCCATGGGGAGAGGTCTCCTGACTGGCAAAGGGCATAAAGAAGCCTTCTGGGGTGCTGGAAATATTCTCCATCTCAATTTGTATGCTAGTTACAAGACTTGGTTCACCATGAAAATTAATCAAGCTGTACACTTGGGATTTCTGCACTTTATTGTATATCTCAAATTTTAAGAAAAAAATAATTAAAAACAAAAATTTTAATTCATTGCAACACTTCCTGAAACTGTTCTTTTGGATATATAGTGTTCTTATCCATGTTCATTGAAATAAGTGGCTAAGCACATGTAACTGCAGCGTTGTGGAATGCGAAGATGGTCAACTTAAACTTGGGGGGAGTGGGGAGAAGGTCACCAGCTGTGAGGGAGACCTTCTGTAAACATACATTTCAATACAAATAAATTACATGGTGCTTGTTTCGTTTGCTTTACAATTTTATTTAGCATCTGCCAGATCACAGGGAATAGTTCTGGATCTCATTTTTATTTATTTATTTTTATTTTATTTTAAGACAGGGTCTCACCCTGTCACCCAGGCTAGAGTGCAGTGGCACAATCTCAGCTCACCGCCACCTCCATCTCCCGGGTTCAAGTGATTCTCATGCCTCAGCCTTCAGAGTAGCTGGAATTACAGGCGTGTGCCACCATGGCCCAGCTATTTTTTAAATATTTTTAGTAGAGATGGGTTTTTGCTGTGTGGTCAGGCTAGTTTCGAACTCCTGGCCTCGAGTGATCCCCCAGCCTTGGCCTCCCAAAGTGCTGTAATTACAGGCATGAACCACCACACCTGGCCTAGGAACTTATATTTATTAGCAAGCACTTGGGTATGCGTTCCTATTTCCTCCACATAGGTATGTATGTGCATCTGCCTGTGACCTATCATAGACTTCAACTGGCGCCAGGTAAAGTAAGATTAAGTTTCTTTATCTGTAAAATGTGGATAATACTTACCTCACAAAAATATTGTGATGATATAATGAGATTTTGCACATAAAAGCATTTCACAGTCAGAATAAATATGAGCTCTATGTGTATTCCTCCATGTGTATCTGTTTCTAATGAATTACACAAGCCACCTGCTGAAAAGGACAGTTGCCCTAAAGCGTGCCAGTCACTTCTCACTTGCCCCCTCAGCCCTGTATAAGCTACATAGTTCTCCCATCGGGAACCTGGGGCTGAGAACCCCCAAGTCTCCCTGGGGCTTTACATGAATTCAGCGGAGAAGTCCCTGCACAACCCAGGAGTCCGGATCTCCCGGACGGACTGGGCTGAACCTGCCCCTCCCCCAGCCCCACAGATGCCTTTGTGTCCTGCTGGGAGCCTCCTTGCAGACCCTCGGGGAGACCGGAGCCTCCCCCAGCCTTCTTTACGGACCCCGCCGAAAGCGCTGAAAGCCTCAGCGTGCTCCTTTACATACCCGCCAGACACCTCCAGGAAGGTCAAGGCCAAGTTGAAAGTTAAGAGTCTGTTTACCTCCGGGAGCCCATTCAGCTGGGCCCCACAGACCGCCTGTGACCTTTACAGCCCGGCCTTTGAGCGCGGCCGCCGCGCCCCCGGGGGTTCCGGCGACGGGGACTTGGCACCTCCGTGTCAGCTCCCGCCCCCGCCCGGGCTAGGCACCGGCCAACTAGGGGTGGGGGCGGGAGGCGCCCACCCGCCGCACTTGGGGGCTTTTGCTAAACTATGTGTTGTGTTTTTTGTTTTAGTGAGCGCCCGCTGCCTTCGTTCTCTCAACTGGAGCAACCTCTGTGGCGGCGACGATGGCGGCCGTCCGGTGGGTCGCGATGAATAACGAGGATTTCTCCGCAGCGCGACGCTCCCCGCTCCGGAAAGATGGGGCTCTTCGGTCCCGCCCGGCCGCGCGGGTCTGGCTGAACTGCTTGGGGTCACCCGGCTTCTCTTGGTTTTATGAAAATGGCCTAATTGAGGTGCGCTCTTTTCTTTCCTTCCTCTTTTCATCTTTTCTCTCCACTCTCTTCAGTCCCGGTATCTTCTTTTCCTTTTATATTTGTGT